AGATGAATTTTACCAAGTTACATAGCTAAAATGAAAAGCACTGTGAATTTTCCTATTTGTTCATCTAAACACGCGGAGCTCATGTCAGAAGGTGCATGTGCTAAGGAGAGGGCCAGGATGTTCTTCAGCTCCTCCACGGTCATTTGATGTCACCAACACCAGGAAAGGGCCAGCGGTCAGACTCCCAGTTCACTTAGTACTAAGGGTAAGTCATTTTCACTACCCTTGAACAGGGGTCTCGACTTATTGTCTATGAAGAAAACTTCAAAATGTTCCATCCCAAAGTGACTTAATGATTGAGTGCACCCACTTTAATTTAAAAGGTGGGGGGTAACTTTTCATCATTAGTAGTACTCTCAAGCTAACATTCATTTAATGGGGCTCTAAAAAATAAATGATGTTTTTTAGTGATTACAATATGTATTTAGGAGAAAAGGCATCATAGTGATGGGATTCAGGTGACCATGCACTATGGTGACTCTTCCTGTGTCTTTGTGTCACATACTTTCCAGTTTCGGTTTAAGACCTAAAGACATTCCCCAAAAGGGGACAGTCAAGTTACTACAAAGGAGGGATATACTGTGAATGTGTACAGTATAGAATCTTAAAAAAAAAAAAAATGTGCAGAGGTTCATGCTGTCCGGACTTGCCCAGTTATTTTTCAGTAACAGTTGCATAACCACAGGTGTGGAAAATTCTCTTCTGAACCAGCACTTCCTCTTCCATCAACAAGCTGTGCGTGTGTCTAAACCATGACATATGGCATCTGTTTGGGAAAAGGAGGAAGATTTTAAAGAAACTGCTAAATTAGTTCTCAAAATCAAGGAAGGGCTATTATGTAAGCTCAACATATGTTCAAGGGATGTAAAGAATGTCAAAACGAACCCCCTCAGTCAGGGAGAAGGGATCAGAGTTCACAGCTCAGCTTAGAGACTTGAGCAATACCACTAATTTAATCAAGAATTAACCAGCATATCTCCACATTTACTGAAAATACTTCATGTAGTATTGCCCCAAACAAATTCACAAATGTGTGTTGAGATAACTCACTCAACAACGTCCTGAACAACACTGTATTGCCCATGACCACCAGACCCTCAGTTGGAGGGGTGACCTAGCACCACATGCTGCTTCAGTGAAGCCCACATACAAAGGTACACGTGCTGTGTAAACAGGCGGCACACACTCTTGCACAGGATAGCTCCAGCCTAACAGAAGGAGGGAGCTAGAGTCACGTGTCACAGGTTTGTCCTGTGGTTCCTTAATATTTCCTATCTTTAAACTTCCTCCTGCTAAAAAGTGGTACCACATATTTGAAAAGCCAATCAAATGATCTTCCTTCTACCTGGAGAGTTTCAGAAAGATGGGAAATTACGGTAGATAATGAGACATTCAATGACTTGTCCATTTTAACCATGGAGAATCTCACTCCTGATTATGTATCATATCACAGGACTTTACGCAGCTATCCAACACGTGTCACCAAACTTCTCTGCAATCTAAGTCTACTAGAATTTCTTCAGTGACTTTTTGCATGTTCCTCTTAATCTTGAAAACAAAATAAATAAGGATGTTTAAAGAAGTTGTTTGAGACTTTCTGAGAAAACTTGGGGACAGTAAGAATGAAGTAGTTTGAGAATATTTCCAAAAGTGCTCTTAGTATCTTGTTACTTCCTGAATTATAAAATGAACATACATTTAAAATAATGGTCAAAACCAACAACAAAAAACCCAATCAGTAAACAAAACAACGATAACAGCCAGGACCCCAATCCACCGTGGTCCATGGAAGAAAGGGGGATATATGTGACAGAGGGGCTGACTCTCACCCACTTTTCTGTCTCCAAAACCAGGATAATAATTTGCATACAACAGAGAGTTAATGAATATCCTAAGTGAATCGGAGGAAAAATGCTGGTCACCTCCACTCTTGTCCCACTTCTACCTGTGGCACCGAACCTGTAACTCAATCCTGCTTGCCCTGGCCACTTCCACCACCACTGAAGCCCAGAGGCCTTCTCAGATAAATATCTGTTGATTTTAAAAACAAAGGGGTAGAGAAAATGTGAAGGATTAGGTTTATAACCTAGTCTCTTATAAAGACTTTTTTCTTCTTCTTTTAGTTTTCATGTTAAAAATGTAGAAATAAATGAAAATAGGTGAATTTCATAAAACATATGCAACTGGGTTTTGCAAAATGTTATTTAAGAAAAATTCAGGCAACTACCTAAGGATCATTTACTGTCAAACACATATTACTTTGCCTGAATTTGTAAATAATCTCACATAATCCTCACAAAACCATAAGCAGTATTGATCACACTTCACACTGTATGAACAGAAGCTCAGAGATGTTAAGTGATTTGTTCACATCAAAAAGTCGACAAGCTACAGGGCCTGGACTCAAGCCAAAGTCGCTGGCTGAGAGTCCAGTCCTCTCCTGCACCATGGCGATGACAACTCAGTTACTGAAATTTCCTTTAGTGGATGAAGTGGGAAAATCAGAATCACAGTGCAGGCAACAGGATCAGACTCTAACTAGAATCAGGAAGCCAAGAGTCCCAACCGTTTTAGGATTTGCAATTGTTTCTAAGCCAGCTCTTGGTGGACTGGAGGACAGGAATCCCTTCCTGGTCATCTCTGCTGTAAAGCAGACAACACTTGGTCCAGCATTTTGCACACCCTAGATCTGCAAAAAGTCTTTACAAAACTGCATGCGCTGGTCGTGAGCATGGCCCGGGCAGGTTAATGCGGCAGGCCCACCCCCTCATCTTCCTCAGGGTGCTCCAAGACCTTTTCCAAAAAACTCTTTGATTTTAAATCATCCCTATTCCTTACATCACCAATAGAAAATATACAGGCCAATTCATTTCTTTCTGTCATTTAAAATACAAACAGAAGTGATGTGGGTTTGGAAATGTAGCAGTGAAAATGTGTGCTACAAATATGAGGAAAGGAGACGGGGAACAAACTACCACACTGTTTGGTAAGCAGTATGACCTAAAATAAAAATTAAGCTGTGAGCAGGGAACATGGCCATCATTTAGGACTTTCTCGACCCTAGGTGACCAAAGAACTATGCCAGGGGACAGACCACTTGTACCTCCCTTCTTCTAAAGTTTTTAAATTGGTAGCTTGCACGAGGCTCCTGGCTAACCCATCTATGGCCATGTCTAACCAGTATGTTAAGAAACAACTTTGGGTTTATAGAGTTCCTTCTTTGGGGAATTGATTTACTATCAGCAATATTTTACTGAACATTTTTAAAATAAAGGAGTGTCAACAGCAGGGGATTTACCCCTTCCTTCTTGCACTTTTTCACAAAGAAAATTTACTGCTAAATCACATACAAATTTTAAGAAATTGTAACCCAACTATGTCAATAAGGACTTTTATCATGTCCCAAACAAGGGTCTCCGGCACTATTAAACCAAGAAAACTTTTCCAAAATTCAAAAATCTCAAACATCCTCTATGTAAAAGATCATTCAACTAAACAAATATATCAAATTCTCCACTAGAACATGAAAGTGTTCATTAACAAAAGCTTTCCAGTTAGACTGTATTCATATATAGCTCTCTATATATGTATATAATGATACATATGTGTACACATACATATCATTAAACATCTCGTCTCTATAGGAAAACTACTCACTTTTAAAAAACCTTGGCATATAAATAGCTATTAAAACAATTTCATAAATTCATACTATTCAACTGCATTTCAAAACATGAAAAGAGTGCCAGTTCTACAAAATCCCTATGGGAATAACTGAGAACAGCAACAGAAACAAAAATATCCCCCCAAATTAAAAGTACACACACATACACACCCAAACCTTAATGTAAGTCAACTTGATAATGAGACAGCTGCAGGACAACTACAGACTAACTATTAACCACTGAGTTATACTTTCATTCTAGAGTACAAACAAGAGTTCAGATCTCTTTGGTCCACGTATTCATATATTCAATGTCCACGTTATTTTCTGACTAATTTTGGATTATCAACCATGTGCTCCATATTACCATGATAATTTTCTTAAATCATAAAATTTCCATATGTTTAAAAAATTCATTCTGTACTTCTAAAACAATTTTCACGTTATTGGTAATTCCTCTAGAATACAAATGCTTTAAATTATTGATAGGATAGCCAAAGTAAAGAAAGAATACAATTCAAGTCCAACAGAAAAGGAGAAATCAAATTGACCTGGAAAAGTTATGTCTAAATTTAATTTGAGGAAACATTAGAAATATAAAGAACACATAAATTAATAGTAGATTTGTACAAAATAAAAAGAATCAATTTTAAAATTTACTTCAAAGATCTTTAAGATTGAATATTTGCTAATTGGTTGTTGCTGTCTGAACAAATTTCTAAGCTAGTGACAGTAAACCCTTAAAACTGGCTTCCATATAGGTAAAAGTATCCTCCTTCCCAACTCTCACATTAAATTAATATATTCTTTTTGATGGAGGAAAAGTAGCATAGGTAACAGGAGTCTTAAATTTAAATGGGATCTAAATTGAACCTCCATTTTTAAAAGTCGACTTAAATAAAGAAGCGAGGGGACTCTTTTGTCTGGACTGTTCTCTGTATTCTCTATAATGGCTGCTCCTTTGAGTTAGCATGTTTATAATTGCAACTGGCCAAAAAAGTCTCATTAGGAGATTCAACCAGACTAGGGTCTGTGTTTTCTTACTTCTTGTCTTCTTACAAACAATTATGTATTGACAGAATCTCTTAAAATGCTTTACAAAGGATAGTGCCACTTTTAATACATGTGATCTTATTCCAGTAAACTTAAATTGGAACTTATAAACTGAACATCTGAAATGAATCACATATATATATATATATATATATATATATACATACATATATACACACATATACATATATGTATTTCACTGATTTGTTAAGACTGCCAAGTTTTAAAATTATTTATTGTATTCCCCAATTTTTACTTAGCAGAATCATGACATTGCCACATATCCAAAGTAAGAAGAGTTTATTATTCTTCCTAAATAACTTACTTGGTACTTATATACAAATGAGCCTTTTTATTTCCAGAGCCTAATTTAGGCCACTCTTTCAGTATAGTTAATACTCCAGAATGAAAGATTGTTTTGTCAAAAATCAAGACAGATGCAACAAGTAATATAATCCCACTGCTGCTAATGACAAAGATGTTTTCTCCATGAGATACAAGGCAAACTTTCTTTAGAAGGGTCAAAGAATGCAACATGCATTTCAGACTTTTTTCTTACAAAATTCATAAGAAAAATTTCAAATTATATTTTTATGACACATAAGTGACAATATGTGTGACCCATAAAGTTTTTTAATTCACATAAATAAAATATTTATGCATGAGGAAAACTATTAAAAGGGTGTCCAGTTAGTGAAAAGTATGCACCCTACAGGTCTACTTTGAATCCTTAAAACAGTTTAGCTCATCTTCCATTAAGAAGACTATTATTTTCCACATAAATTAAATAATAATGCCTAAAAAGCCCTAAATCCCAGAAACGCTCCACATTAAAACCAAATAATTTCTCCCATATTAAATGAGTTATTTAGCACTCATAGGGGATTCAGCATTACAAAACAAAATCTTACCACATGACCTGAATTCATGTCAAATATGTTCACAGCACTCATCTACATCTACACTTGCAAACTGTCACATGATCAATGTCAAAAAGAAAAGTTTGGCACATATATCAATTCCTCAAAACGTCCCTGTAACTTAACACAACATTGTTAAGAACAATGATTTCAACACCAATGTTAACCTGATTGGCAGCTAAACAAGGTGCTTTTTCTTGAGGCTTCACATGGGTCTTGTGCACCTTGCCTGGGACGGAGGCACGTAAGGTGCAGTGCGGTAGTGCAATCACTTGGACGCCAGAGGGCAGTCTTTCCACACAGCGCAAGGTCTGTCTTCCTTCGGTTTCGACTGGCTCGGTCCACAGCTCCTTCACAATGCCGATTTCAGGGAATCTGTACATCTGTTTCCTTATGTGAAATAAGACATTCCCTCAGAAACCTCAAAGTGTGGCGAGGATCCTTGAAAAGGAGATGATTAATGTCAATACGGTCTGCCCAACGCCCCATACCAGCGCTTCCAGCGGGGCCATGTTCTTCCCTGCCACTCGGTAGATGCCGGCCACCGCGGCACCTGGAGGAGAGAGGGGAGAAGGACAAAGCGCGCTGCTTAACTCCACCGCGACAGGACCCCTGCGCATTTCATCAAAACAGAAAGCCCCTCACTCTCCTCAGGAGGTAAACTGTTTGGGTTTCTAGGTGATTGGTAAAAACTACCTTTAGCATACTACATTTAACCATTTAACCACTTAACTGAAAAGATGCCTTTTCTATCCAACCCAAAGACACGCAGGTGCAGTATAAGCTGCACACATAATACCAAAGACGTCTGTAAAAACTGATGATCCATTATCGTCATCTTTCTCCTGGACATTCAACTGCTTGGACCTGATCAACCTTTTCACAAATATGCCAAACAATATGTTGATAATTATAAATGATAATGCAGAGAAACTACATGATTTAATATCCAAATTTTAAAAGAAAATTTTAAAATTGTCCCTTTTTTACTTGAGTAAAATTAATTCATTCTTCGGTATCATATAAAATGTAACAATGCGTAACTAATTCATTTCACCATATAAAATAATTTACTGAATTTTTAAAAGAAACACACAACTGTAAAATTATTTGGAGACTAGTAAAAGATAAACTTGATATCTCTTTTAGAAAATATTTTAGATTATGCACCCTTCCCAGAATGAGAGAATCTCAGAGTTATGAAGAGACTCAGGGCCTAATTTAATACTTCATGTTAACATATTATATATAATGATGAAGACCTAAGTATCTAATTTTTAAAAAATTTAGTTTAAGGCGGACATAATTCCTTTATTTTATTTAGGTATTTTTATTTGGGGCTGAGGATGGAACCCAGTTAGTCTCACATGTGCCAGGCAAGTGCTCTACCACTGAGCTACACTCCCAGCCTCCTAAGTGGCTAATTTTAAAAGCACATTTTGAAATCATAAAGGAGGAAACATTTAAATTATTATATATAATAGACTGAGATATATTAAAACTACTTCTCTAGGAAAAACCTGTCTACATATCCTAGGATGGTTAAACAAAGGAACATAAGAAAAAGAACAGAAATACATTTTTCAAAGACACTGAATTGACAATTACTTAAGATAGAAACCTACTCAGAAAAATTAGATAAGGATGAAATTATCTATCACTTGTCAATTTAAAAACAATTAGCTAAGTATTGACTCTTTGAACTTAACCTAAAATCTCCCAAATATGCTGGGGATTGAAATGGAGCAAATTGTATGCACTCATTAGTATGTATTTATGAATATTTCAAAATGAACTCCCCTCTTGGTGCATAACTATAATGCACTCAAGATTTTTTTTAAAAAATCTCCCAAATAATAGTTATTATATCCCTCAGAGTAGTTCTTTATAAGAGATATAAATGGGAAAAGCAAATCACCAATCTATGACAAGGGCTTCATATGCATGTTTTAAAAGTAAATTAAGATAGCATATTTATCACATATTATGTATCTTGCTAGCAAATTTACAAATATTATCTTATTTAAATATCATACCACCCCCTCAGTATTATAACCTAATTTAAAGATGCAAAAAACAGAGGTTCAAAGAAGTTTAATTAGTAACTCAAGGAAATACATAAGCACAACAGCTAGGATCTCAATGCAGGACAATCTGGTTAAAAATCTCTAAATCATTCTATTCTACCATTTATTTTATGTTAAGGTACAAGAGAACAAAGAATTCAGAAAAATCATGAGGCAACTGATAGTAATTTCAATATTAAATAAAACACCAATGTTTACTTAATCAAGTGATAAAATCACTTGTACTACTGGTCATATGCCAAAGTTTTAGAACTAGATGAAATTCTCAAGAAATTTAAAAGATCTTCTGCCTTCTTTTTTATCAGAAATTATGTCAAAATAAACCTGAGAAATAGTACTCTGGTGTTTGTTTGTTTGTTTGTTTTTTTCTTTTATGGCAAACAAAGGATAAATTCAAACCTTTCCTGTTTCACCTAAGGTCTAGAGCCTGGGGTTTGAAGCTGGGCTCAAGGGTTAAAATCCAAGTTCCTCTTCTTAGCTGCCTGCTACATTGGAGAATCATCACCCGCTCAGCTGTAAAATGTCGGGGTGCAGGCAGGTGGGGGTTGACCTTTAGGAGATAATACTACTATAACATTGCCTGGAACAGCAGCTGGTCCTAACAAGTATTCCAAAAATCTGAGCTAGTAGTCAAAATCCCAATCAGAGGATCGATCTTTACAAGTGGTGTTGAACAACTGGGTAGTCATTTGGAAGAAATAAATTTGGGTCCCTACTTCACATTATTCCCCAAAACAAATTTCAGATGTATTAAAGAACTAAATGCTCAAAATAAAACCACAAATATAAGCCAAAATATAGGTAAATATATTTAGGACCTTCCAAAAAGAGATCCTCTTAAGACTACAAATAAAGAGCAAAAAATCATAAAGGTTTGACATCAAGGAAGACTAGAAAAATATCTGCTAAGTGTAAAACAAATGGATGAGTAGAATTCAGAACAGACACACATGTATATCCATGTACATGCATTTAAGTATCAGTGCAGTGCTTTCTGTAAACAAAAGCAAAATTGCTGCTCATCAGCTCGAGGATGCATAAACCATACCAAGTCCACACCAAGGACCTCACAATTTCAAAAGAAAAATATGAGGGGGGCTGAAGGGAACGGAGGAGGGATAGGAAAAGGAAGACAGTTTTAAATCTAATTTTAGTATTTAACTTGCCTAAACTTCCCTATAATTCCAAGAAATTTTCATGATAATGGCCAAAATATCAATCATATTTTTCAAACAAAAATATTTATACAGTAAAAATGTTTACTGAACTCTTGATTTTAAGTAGCAGGAAATACATTTACTTGTAACAGAGAATAAATACATTCCCTTGGATGTAGCTGTGGTTTATTCCTTTCCTGAGATTGGAGAGAATTTCGAGTATCAATGTGCCAGAGCTCCTCCATTTTTCTACTGGTGACCTCTGTTCCCAACACTTAATTCACAAACACTAACCTCATCAACACTCCCATACTTGACCCCTGAGCCACAAATGCAGTCAACGATTTCTTAGCAATCCATTCTTCACAGTGCCCTGGTGGGATGGGCATATTTGACCTCACCAGGCAATGTCAAATAACTTTCCTGAATTAGCTATACCAACTTAATCCCAGGTACTCCATATCAAGAATAGAAGGAGTTCATGTGTTGATACCTTAATCTTTTTCTCTTTTGTCAATCTGGTAGGTAAATGATGTTATCTTTATGATTATTTTACATTCCCCTGACAATTAATGTGATTAAGCTTTTCTTCATAACTATTGGCCATGAGGATTTCTACTCCTATGAAACACCTGTCAAATATTTCATCCATTTTTCTACTGGGTTATTTTTTTCTGATTTAACTCATAGGTTTTTTTTAATTGTTGTTAACAATACAGCTTGGATATTAATCTTTTTTACATTTATATATGTTAATAAATAGCTTTCCCCAACATACACTGTAGTTTTCCCTCTCTCTAAGGTGTCTTTGCTGGTCAATAGTCAGTTGAAAGAATACACATGGACTTCACTTTCTTGGTGAAACATGAGGCTAAATTCATATACAAAAATGAAAAAGACAGAAGTTAGGGTGCTCAGAATAAATGATAGATGTCTGGAACTTCCACTGTGAACAATGGCAGAAAATTTAGAAATACATCCCCAAAGCATTAAGGGGCAAGACCAGACTGGCATAGTGGATATGAAGTAGAGAAAACAACAGAGCAAATTTGCTCTGCAGATGAGTAAAGGGTGTAAACCTAGGAAGGGAGGACGGTCATCGGTGGTGAAGAGTGTCAACAAAGAGCAGCACAAACTGCCGCAGGGGTATTCCACTGAAAAGCAATGGGATGTGCCCAGCATATTTCCTCACAGCAATAAAAAAGGGGGGGCACAATTCATTTTAATAGTGTGCTGAATTTATCAATTCATAAAGTTAGATCAGGGGTGGGTATCCTGTAATCCACAGGCCAAATCTGAACAAACCTGTTTTTGTGCAGCATGAAAGCTGGGAATGGTTTTCACATATCTAGATGGATTAAAAAAAAAAATCTACAGAATATCTTGTGATATAGGAAAATTATATAAAATTCAAATGTTGCTGTCTATACATAATGTTTTATTGGAATAGTTAACCCATTCTGACACTGAACCCTCTCTACAATCCAAGACAACATTCACAAGGCAAATGAGCCTAAACATGTCTCTTCTCTTCTCATGTAGTTTTCATTGTGAGTAGCAACTGGCTCACGCTGGCCTCAGCAAATAATCTGTGCAAAACTTTCATTTTTCTTTTTTTCTGTAAAATTTGGATAAAGTATGAATTGACTATTCCTTGAATATTTGGTAGAACTCACCTGCAAATCCTAGTTAAATCTGGAGGGTCTTTACCACTTAAATTGTTAAAAAAAAAATCACTGTTCTAATCATATTTCCCATTTCTCCTTACAACAATCTTGACATTTCATATTTAGAAATATGTAGCTGTTCATAAAACTATTTTTATAATTCCTTATTTTATCTTTATTACTAAAGTTATTTCATCTATTATATCTATATTTTACACTTTCTTAGTATGCCAGCAGTCTATTCATTTATCTCTGTGATGTACCAGTTTTTTATTAACCTTTCATAAGCACAACTTACAAAACTTCATAAGACTAAACAATGTAGTTTTAAAAGATACCATGCACAATAGCCATAAAATCAAAAGTAACCATGAATTACCTTACTCCAAAATATGGAACCTTCCTATTAGAATAAAACATTTAAACTCTAATAAAACGCATGGAAGATATCAACAAATGAGAGATACTGCATGTTCTTGGGTGACATAATTTGATATGACAATTCCTCCAAAATTAACCTTCACATCCAATGAAGTCTTAATAAAATCACAGACATACATTTTTAGATATTCAGTAGACATATTAAAAATTTATATGAAAGAATAACGGTCCTGAGTAGTTATGTTAACTTTGAAAAAGAAAAGTAACAAGAAAGGCCCTATCCTTGACAGATACTAATACATATGACAAAATTAGAGGCATAAAAAATGTAGCCCTGTTGCAATGACAGAGTTTGGAGACAGACCCTGCACATAGAGAACACAATGCACAGTGAAGGTGGCAATTCAAATCAATGAAGAAATGACAGACTTCCAGAGGATGGTAAGAACTGACTTACTATGTGAGAGGGAAAAAGGCACACCTAGAATCTAAATAACACCAAAGACAAGGTCACTCGAAATGGAGGGGAGGGGGACATGATTATGACCGCAATGCCAGATGCCACATCCATCCGTTTCCATATGCCTATGCTTCCTTTTGCTTTAAATGGCAGGGTAAACAGTGCTACAGGCACCACTGACTGACAAAGTCTAAAATATTTACTGCCTGGCCCTTTAAGAAAGTGTCTGCTGACTCCTGCTCTAGATGAATTAGAAACCTTAATATAAAAGGTGAAACTACAAAATTAACAGAAATAAATGCATCAGGATATCTTTTGATCTTGTTATGGGCAAGAACTTCTGAAATAAGACCCTAAATTATAAAAGAGAAAAACCTCTTGAAGCTGATTACAGGCCCTTCTACTCAATAAATGACATTGTGGGTAAAGGTAACAGATAAAAGAATGAGAAAGTTATCTGTAAAGTCCAAAATCAACAGGAAACCAATATCCCTGATCCAACTTAATAGGGAAATAAGAGCATCCAAAGAAAATCACAGAATTTTAAAAAGCACTGTGCATAAAAGGAAATCTAAATATATAAATAAGCATAAGAGATGCTGAACCGCATCAGTAATCTGAGAAATGCAAATTCAACCATCACTGAGATGTCTCTTTACACCTTTAGAATAGCTAAAATAAACAGCTAAAATTAGGCTCTATTTTGAAAGAAAGCCATTTTTTTTTTGTCAATTCCACATTAACTATCAATACTAACTAAAATGAAAAAGCTACTCTTTTGGAAATAAAATCTAAGAAGTAACAAGTGTTAACAGATATGGATTAAAACTCAGTATCTTATCGAATATAGATCTTCAGCACTTGCTTGCTGAACTGAATATACAGACTTGAGTAAGCTGGCACTCATGACATGCATTTAGGGAAAAAATACAACTAAATATTCATATTGACTAGTTTTCTCAATTCAAGTATTTGCAAGTCCAAACATTAGCCAGAAGGAATCTGAATGTTTTATTGATAATGTGGGCGCAAATTTTTACTTCAAGTTCTATCAGACTTTCATACTTTTAATGATTTTAAAATATAACATTGCAGTTTCTAAAATCACTGGCTCATTTTATTCTTGACTAAATTGAAAGTGGGTTATATGTGCATACACATCATTAGAGACAAATGGGAGTGGAATTATATTCTTCACACTCTCTGAAGTTTGACAGTAGCACACATATGTGCATACTGCTTACAACTCCTGAGAAGCTGTTCCTCCTCCTCCTCCTCCACTCATGGTTCCAGTTACAACACAAGCCCTCACCAAAGGCATGGGTGGCCCCCATCATGTGTTTCTAAATACCTCCACAGGGACTAATAACAGATTTGGATTTTTTGTCCTTTGTCACAATTCTTACATCAACTCCTTCCTTTCCAACCCAAGCTGTTACTCTATCTCAGATCTTGAGCACAGGCTCACTAGTAATTCCTCTTGATTCTCCCTCCTTTAATTTTCCACCTTCTTCTTCCCTTCTTCTTCCTTCTTTTTCCCCCTCATTCTATCCACCCATATAACCAGTACTCTTTGGACATCTATCATGCTTTTAAAATTGGGGGTATAGCAGTGATGAAGATGGACAAAGCCTCTGTCCTTCCAGAGTTTCTTCTTGGTTCTTTACATATACTCTATATTTAGCTATCAAACAAATTTTGAATTTTGAATTACTATGCCCCTTATCAGCCCCATTCAAAAATTCTACTTGTCTCCAATGGACAGCAGGATAAAGCTTCAAACTTTCCAGCTGGCCTTCTAAGGCCCTCTAGGTCCTGGCTCTATTCTCTCTTTCCAGCTGAATCTCCTACCACCCCATTATGCATGCCCTGTGCTTTGGCTCAAAGTTCCTGTTTGAAATCCTATGTATGGCAAAATAGGTGAGGCATCATGTGACAAAATTATAGCTAATGAGAAACAACAAAAGCAAAAACAAAAACTTAACACAGACAGAAAAATCAAATTTATTAAAATTCTTCATTTAGTATGAAGAAAGGATAAAAAAAAGAGACTTCCTGCTAATTCCCAGGAGTATTTTGTGATTGCTTATCAGTGCCAGAGGATACTCACACACACGGGAGCAGAGCTTTCCTCTCAAGGCCAGGAGGGCAACCACTTCAAAAGAAGTAAAGGAGGGAGGCCCTTAACTATAAAGATAAGGCCTTTCTCTTACTTCTGGGGCAAAAATCAACTGAAAGGAAGAAGCCTCTCATAAATACAGATCCAGCAGTAGCTATGAACTGCCCCAGACATCTGGAAGCAGGCCAGAAGGGAACGTGCTATAAGCCTCCGTTATCTATTAGCAGGGACAGAATCAGCAACACAGAGAAGCAGCCAGTCGCCAACACAGACATACCAAGGAAACAACATGGCACTTCAGAGTCTGGATACATCCAGGTTCTGTCAACTAGCAGCTGCAGAAACCAGAACTAATTCTGAAGCCAAAGTTAGAGCTGGGGTCCAAGTTCAGTGTCAAGAGAAGCCCAGGAGGACAAAATTGGAATGCACAAGGTGGCCTCGCAGAACACTTGTAGTGGTCGCTAGAGGGCACTCTGAAGTGGTTAATTTCTAGCTGGCTAGAGAAGATCTGTCACAAAACTTTAGGTACTTCTAAAAAGAAAGGTAGTTATATTTTGCAGCCACAGGCAGATACCACCAAATACCCAGTGGCCATACTTTCACTATTTTTTATGACAATTATCATTTTCATATTTTTGTGCCTACCTTTCTTTTTCTAGATAATGAGAAGCTACAATAACTATAAGATAAATATTACCATTGAACTGCTTTGCCCAGTGCCAATTTTTCTGAGTATTTCTAATTCCCACAAAACCGTGTATAATGACTCTTCAAATAGTAAAGTACAACTATCTAGTAACACTTACAATGAGATACTTACCCAAATGATAAGTTTATTATCAAAAAAAATATGCCCTAAAACAAAACAAAACCTACTTACTGGTAATCATTGCTCCAGTTACAGAAGCCAAAAACCCAATGCTGACAGCAATGACGGAGATGACTCTTCCCTGCCTGTGCCTCTGCAGCATCACAAACATCAACACTCCTGCAGCACCATGGACAAACAGAGAGGAGAAGAGAGCCCACAGGAAGATCCAGTACCACATCTCTGAAAGGAAAAGCAAAGGATTAACCATTCTGTTAACACATCTTAGAAAATTCACTTAACAGTGAGCACCCATGGTTTGGGGAAAGGTTGAATGAGATGATGGATGTGAAAAATTCCTAGCACAGCACCTGACATATAGTGGTACTAACTAAATCCTGATGATTACAAGCACGCTTTTCATTCTCTTTCCCCTGGTACCCTGTTGCATTCCAATCAATCCACAAGTTTCCCATAAATATTGATGCTCTGTTCTTGTAGTTTCATCTCCCTGGTTATACTTGTGAGGTACAATTTTGGCCAGCAATGGATCCAAGCTGGGCCAATGATCCTCCTCCCTTGGAAATTCAAGATTGGGACAAACTGAGAGTCTCCTTGGTCCTTGAATAGCTGAAGCCAAATCAATTTCCTTATCATGCATTGAAGCCATGATAAAGGAAGAAAGAAAAACAGATCCTCCAAAGACAAGAGACAACCAAGTCCCTTATTCCAGTAATTTTTAAGTCCTGTCACATTACTATTTTAAAGCATAACACCCCAGTTTCTTTGTTTAAAAAATCCTTTGTTTTATTTAAACTGATTAAGGTAAATTTTCTAATACTAATAACTGAAAAGAACTGATTTCAAAATGTTTCGCTGTCACCAGGAAGATCATCCTTGGTATATACACATTGTATAATGCAAAGGATCTCATCTACTCTTTGTGCTAAACATTTACTAGTAAGCGTAAAAGTCAATAAATAAAGAGCACAAAAATAAATTAGTTAAATCCATTTTATCCAAACCAATTATCATTCAAGTACCAATATACAATGTTGGTGGGAATTTAAAATGGGTGCAACTGCTATGAAAAACAGCATGGCAGTTCCTCAAAAAAGTAAAAATAGAATTACCATATGATCCAGCAATCCCTCTTCTGGGTATATAGCCAAAAGGACTAAAAGTAGAATCTCCAGGAGATACTGGCACAACCATGCTCAAAGTGGCATTATTCACAATAGCCAAGTGCTAGAAGCAATCCAAGAGTCCATCAATGGATAAAAGGATAAACAAAATGTGGCATATACATATAATGAAAAATTATTCAGTTTTTAAAGGTCACATGGTTCAACTTGGAAGAACCTTGAGGACATAATACTCAGAGAAATGCTCCAGTCACAAAAGGCCTAATACTGCACCATTCCACTTGCATGACTATCTAGAGTAGTCAAATTCACACAAACAGAAAATGCAGTGGTTGATGCCAGGAGCTGAGAGCAGGAGGAAGGGTGAGTTACTGGATCTAAGAGGTGCGGAGTTTCAGTTTTGAAAGATTAAAAAAAATTCTGGAGATTGGTTGCAAAACAATGTAAATATACAAAATATTCACCTAACAACTATATATTAAAAAATGGTAGCTTTTATTTGGTGAAATAAAAAATATACTTGGTCTCTGACATGTTTGCTGGCACAGAGCTCCTAAAACCCTTGGAATTTCCTGACAATTTTGCTATTTATAAGTAGTTCTTTCATATTCTATTTGAGTTTACGCCAGTGAGGTGACTGAGGCACCCACACAGCCTCCTGAGGTACTGGTCACCAGGAGGACCATGAAATTATAAAAACTGGACCTTTTAGCAGTGTCCACCTCCAGGAAGGAGGGAGGAGGTCTGGAGGCTAAGCTCTACAAAATTCCTAAATTTGTTAAGTTTTGGGGTTGCTGAACACATGAAGGCGCTGTGAGGGTGGCATGCCCAGAAAGCACAGCAGCCCCATGACTCGCACTTCTCCACTCCCTGCCCCATGCACCTCTTTCATCTGGCTGTTCCCCAAGTTGTGTCCTTCATAATAAGTGAGTTTTAAAAAGTGTTCCCTTAAGTTCTGTGAGCCACTATAGCAAGTGATCAAGCTCCATGAGAAGGGCATGGGAATCCTATGTAAAGCAGGGTAGAAGGACTGGAAGTTCAGACTTGGAACTGGAAGTCTTGTGGGACTAAGACCCACATCAACCTGTGAGGGTGACCCTTACTTCACAAAGAAAGCCTCAGGATTACACTGAATTACAGGACACCCAGGAGGTATACTGACACACTGTAGTTATCACAGAAAAAACTGAACTCTGCTGAGAATATTTAGTTTCACTAGTTTTCCTGTTACTACTATTATTGGGAATTACCTGATAGATCAATGTAACTCTGTTGTGAACAGGGCCTCTAGAGATCTTCCCAGAGTGGAAAGCAAGTCCAAGGACCTACTTGTAAGTGGCAATCACATGAAACCTGTGACTAGTTAAAGTGAAGACAGCTGCAGGACCCCGAGGGTAGAGCAAGAGGGGTACCCATGAACCTCAGTGGGAGAAGAAACAACAGGACAGGAGGGGATACCACAGCCTCTCTGAATCTGTTGGCTTCACTGAACAATTTGTCTCTAGAATTTAATCAATTGAAGAATTTGCCCCTGTATATCTGTACTAAAACTTTCTAAAGTTAAACGTTAAAACATTATATCAGTTAACAGGAAAACATTCTGACATATGCAGTAAAAGGTAATTGAAAGCATTATCTCCAAATGGATTGCACCATGTAAATTCAGCCAAATATGAGCCCTGAATAACTTGAGGACCTCCTCTCATGGTCTTGCACTTAACTTTACATTTGTTCCAATAGGACTCATGGCTTGGGTATATATGGCAAGAGGTGACATAAAATGGAACCTGGGATCATTATGGTAGTAGCCTCCAAACAACCTTAGAAATAGCTCTGCTCCCAATCTGCAACTGTCATCAGCCCCAATTACAAAGTCACTTACCAATTATCTTCTGTGCTTTTTAAAAATCTCTCAAAAATGCAGTTATGAGAAATGAATTTCTCTAAATGTCTAAAAATATTGTATGAAAACAAATCAAAAATAGTAGATATTGGACAGTCCTACTTGTTATAAACAAATAGGTTTAACAACAACTTTCATAGATGAGATGGCAGATGGATGATATTATTTTATACAATCCTATTTAGCCAATTTGAAATACCTTTAAGAATGTTTACTGCAAATATATTGTTTTTTCATTATCATGATCAATTCTGCAATACTAGGGATTGAACCAAAGGGTGCTTCACCACTGAGCTATATCACTCGCTCTTTATTAGTTTTCAATTTGAAAGAGGGTCTTGCTAAGTTGCTGAGTATGGCTTCAAACTTGCAATGGTCCTGCAGGCATGCACCACTGTGCCCAGTTAATATATTATTTTTTAAAATTAGTTTTCACTCTATCTTTGACTCCATCAAAGGAGAAGATGCTTAACTAGACCAATGGTTGCTCCTGAGAATTATCTAAAATGCAACTAAACAATCTTTGGAGATGAAACCTAAACATTTATATTTTTATCAAATCTCTTAAATAGTCATAATATACAGTACTATGGAAAATCACTACCCCAGGTTCCATAAGAGATACTTATTAAAATGTTCTAAAGTCATAAAAACAAAACCTATCTCAGACAATTAAATACTTTCTTTAATCCTCACAGAGTACCCAGTGTTTCTAATATGGTCATTAGTAGGCTGATAGCAAAAACTTAATATGTACTCAACATATTCTATGCATCAAGATGAAAACACCACACCTGTAAAAGACTACATTTGGGGTTTGTTCATAATTTCCTACCTTCTTATAGAAATCATATTATATTTTTAAATACTCTGTGTTTGAATTAGGTGATCAAGATTTTTCCATTCTAGATTTTATTAGAATCTCTGGTACATGATGCACTTATAATTTGGAAAGGTCCTCTAGATCACGGATTGGCAAAGTAAGTATGATCCGTGAGCCATATCTGACGGGCCACCTTTTTCTGTATTGTCTATGACCTAAGAATGATTTTTACATTTAGCAAAGTTTAAAAAATTAATACTATTTTGTGACAGGTGAAAATTATACAAAACTCCAATAATTACACAAAAATCCATAAAGTTCTATTGGGAACAAAACCTGTTGTGTTCAATGACTACATTCATTCCAGGATGGTAGAATCAAGTAGTTGGGACAGAGACCATATGGCCTGGCCTAGGAAGCCAAGAATTTTTGCTGTATTTACTAAAACCTTCTTTTTTTTTAATTTTTTTATTGTTGGTTATTCAAAACATTACATAGTTCTTGATATATCATATTTCACCCTTTGATTCAAGTGGGTTAAAACCTTCTTTTATTTTTATTTTTTTGCAGTGCTAGGGATTGACCCAGGGTCTTATATATGCCAGGCAAGTGCTCTACCATTGACTACTGAGTTAAATCCCCAACCCCAAAAATATTTTTCTTTTGCTATTTACTAAAAATAAAACACTAGTACTAAAAATAGAATATTTTACTCGTTTATAGAAAATGTTTACTGACTCTTGGTCTGGATGACTTAATAAATATCCTTAGAGGCTAGGCTTTCCTTCCCATCCCCATTGAAAATTAGTCACAGTACTTCTATATTTTATCAAGAGTTAGCATTTATTATTTACACAGTACTTCTATATTTTATCAAGAGTTAGCATTTATTATTTAATCAACAATACTCTGATGGCTTATATTCTAATGCATCCAGTTTTTTAGAGCACAGCATATCACTGATATTATGGAATACAGAGTCCTCAGTGAGTGGGAAGATCCAAGAAAGATCTCAAGAGGAGTCACTGTCACAGTAAATTTTTTAAAAAGTAAACAGAAATTAACCAACACCCCCTCTTCCAAAAAAAAGGTGATGCCTCGATACTACTCCCAGAAACTCTGGTTTAATTGGTCTTGGATGCAGATTAGGCACTGGCATTTTTTTTAAGTTTCTCAGAGATTCTCATGCAAAGCCAGTTATGAGAAATCACTGGTCTTAAGACATGTCATCTGAATCATGCAGCTGTGTGTGCCTGCAAAAACTCTAGTGCGGACAAAGCCAAAACTGCAGAGAACAGGATTAGAAAGAATAGAGGTGTGCAGGAGCCAGAGCAACTGTGGGGTGGGGAGCACCCAAAGAATATAGACTTTA